AGACCTGGTTCTGCTGTGACCGTGTAAACAACAGGGTCTTTTTTTTTTTTTTTTTGGCCCGCGGGTCTTCAGCGCTGATACAGATCAGATCTCAGGAAACTAAAATTAGCTCATTCAGAGGACACGGGCGACACAGCGCCCGGGGCGCGATCCTGGCGATAGGACGTGTACAGCTGTTTGTCCTTCCTCATCTCACAGATGGCGCTGCAGGCACCGGCTGAAAACCGTTTGGCCAGAGTCACGGCAAGTTTAGAGATATTTGTTGTTGTTAAATGTGCAACAAAGTTGGAGAATCTAAAAATAAATTAAATAATGAACCAAAAAAAACAAAAACAAAAACTTAAACTTTATCAATAAGTTACTTTTTCTTCATATTCTTTTAATACTTATTAGGGATGTCCGATAATATTGGCCAATATATATACATATATACACATGTATATATGTGTACATATATACTGTACATGTACATTCTAAATATACCAAATAAAAAAATACATACAAATATATGTACACATATATATGCATATATATATGTATATATATAAAATATGCATATATATGTACTGTATATGTATATATGTATATATATATGCATATATATGTGTACATATATTTGTATGTATTTTTTTATTTGGTATATTTAGAATGTACATGCACAGTATATATGTACACATACCTATGTGTGTATATATGTATATATATATAATATGCATATATATGTACTGTATATGTATATATGTATATATATGCATATATGTATATGTATGTATATGTATATGTATATGTATATATATATATGTATGTATATGTATATATATGTATATATATACAATATGCATATATATGTATGTATATGTATATATGTATATATATAAAATATGCATATATATGTATGTAGATGTATATGTATATGTATATGTATATATGTATATATATGTATATATATATGCATATGTATGTATGTATATGTATATGTATATGTATATATATTACATAACGTTGTAATATGTAACTGTGTAATAAACTAAATCTAAATCTTTCTTTTGTATTTGTGGTATATTTAAAATATATTTGTACACAGTGTACACGTAATGTGTAACTGTGTAATAAACTAAATGTATTTTCTTTTGTATTTATGGTATATTTAAAATATATTTGTACACATATCTGCAGGATTATGAACTGCACTCACGCTCGGCGATGACCAGAGGAGGGTAGAACAGGAAGTAGCCCACCAGCTCGGCCGTCAGCTGGTTGAGGAGACCGCTGGATATCGTTCCGTTCAGAACGTTGTCCTGATTCTTCACCACGTAGACCAGGGTGACGGACGGAGAACCTGGATCCTGAGAAACACTCTGGATCTGTTCACACACACACACACACACACACACACAAAACGTTAGATTTTAGTCAGCTGATCCAGTGGAGTCAAAACTTTTCCTACAGCGCCCCCTTTTGTTGTTTTGCTCCACTGATGTCCTTTCATACTTGTTGTAAAATTTAAAAAAATAACCACATGTCTGACATGAATTTGACTTCGTCGCAGTGGCCGTGCCGCCTCCCCAGGGGGACCGCCCCCCGCTTTGAGAACCCCTAACCTGATCTGATAAATCCCAGGAATCTAAATGATTATTTTAGTCTAAATAATTGATACAGAAATATATGAAGCTCTTAGAGCAGATGTATGTGACAAATATATGGTAATATAAAGACGCTGTGATGAAGAGTGGGTTTTTTTTTTTCTTCTCTCTGCTCTCGTTCTCTAACGGCAATAAAAGCCGTGAGGTTCTGGGAAAGACAACGTCAGTGAGTCACCGCCGTGGACTGGATTATGACACAGGATACGAGGAGGCGCCGTCGCATCTCCTCCAAGAACATGAATAATAAAGAGGATGAATTATGGAGATCTGCCGGCTAACTCAGAACCTCGCACTGCTGCACCGTGACCACAAGAGGAGGATATAATTTTTTATATAATTTTGTAATTGTTTTTCCATCAACAATGAAAAACCCGATAACGCAGTGTTTGGGTTTGGCCAAATGATGTGTGAAATAAAAATAGTTTTGGGGGAAAACAGATGTAAAGGAAAGTGAAGGCCACTAGATGGCGGCATTGCTGGTCATTTTATTAATCTATTTTAATAATCAGAGGATTGTATGGAGAATGTTGGTGTCAGGAACTGATACAGTGGTTTGAACAGATGAATAAATAAATATTACCTGTTCTGTATCGGTATTGGTTGATATTGGAATCAGAAATTAAGTGTTTGGACAATATCGGTATATGGCTTTAAAATAAAGACACGGCCTAAAAGATGAATTTAGCAATTAATTCATCCATTTACAACTAGATTTTTTTTTCACCATTGGTCCTTGCACCAAAGTCCATTGATAAAATGTGTGATTTAACCATCGCATCAAACAGGAGTTGAATTCCACCGCTGCCTTCATCACCAGTTCAAGTCAGTTTTTTTTCGCACCTTTTCTGTATTCTAAGAAGCTAAAAATCAATATTTTTTCTCCATGGAATTTCAATCCAAACAGTTAAAGCCTCACAAACCACATTTTTCAGCCAGCACGGCTTCAACAAGAAATTAATCTCACTATTTTGATTTGGTAAACAGGAGCTGTCGATCCACTGTTGCCTTGGCAACACCGAGTCTTTAGGATTACATTTTAGAAAACACAATTATTTTTAATGACATCAATTGATTTAAATGTTCGCAGTTGACCAACATTTTCTTCATAAGCAGAGGCTAAAATCAATGATTTTCTCTATGGAATCTGGTGCAGGTTAAAGCCTCACAGTTCCTTTGGAAAAAAAAAAAAAAGGAAATATATTTTTAAAAACAAAACATAAAGTCCGTTTGGAGCTCTTTCTGACGCTGCAGTGTCTTCATTAACAGCACAGCTGCAGCTATTTAAAAACAATCGTACGGCTCTGAGCGTCCAAGCGCTCTATTACTCATCTTAGCCTGATTATGCAAATATGACACACTTGGCTGTGGCTGCGCTGCACTAAGAATAGCCTCCAATGAGAAGGCCTGGTGGTGGTGGTGGTGGTACCTCCACTGACAGTCTGCTGTAGGTCTCCAACACTTTGTCCTGAGCTTCATCGAAGGCGTTCCCCAGCCTCTGCTCCAACATCTGCACGAAGCTGCAGGAGTAGACGTTGTCTGAGGGGCCGACGAACCTCAGCACTGAGGACAGAGTCAAACAGTGGCATCAGCACCAAGGACAGAGTCAAACAGAGGCATCAGCACCAGGAACAGAGTCAAACAGAGACATCAGCACCAAGGACAGAGTCAAACAGAGGCATCAGCACCAAGGACAGAGTCAAACTGTAGCATCAGCACCAAGGACAGAGTCTAACTATCGCATCAGCACCAGGGACAGAGTCAAATGCTGGCATCAGCACCGAGGACAGAGTCAAACAGTGGCATCAGCACCAGGGACAGACTCAAGCGGTGGCATCAGCACCAAGGACAGAGTCTAACTGTGGCATCAGCACCAGGGACAGAGTCAAATGCTGGGGCATCAGTACCAAGAACAGAGTCAAACAGTGGCATCAGCACCAGGGACAGAGGTTAAAAGATGCGTTAGTGTAAAATCCAACATCACAGTCAGCTGTGGCCATGAAGCTGTACTTCAGTAGTACTTCAGTAATACTTCAGCAGTACTTCAGTAGTAGTACTATAATACATTTTAGCTGATCTTCTGTCTCATCTCTGTATTTTTTTTTCCTTATTTATTTTATAAAAACTCTCCAAGGACTTTTATTTTGATTCATTTAACAAGATAAAACATATTTTCCAATGAAAGGCAATCAAATGCTAACCAATTATATATATATATATATTTGTGTCCCAGAAACAAATGATGCAAGGCCTTAGACCAGTCCCAGCCCCGGAGGTTGAGAACCCTTCTATAAAGTTGAGACTTTTGTTTATTGTGAGAATATTTTTTCATCACCGCCTACAGCTGTGGTCAGTAGGACTGAGCTAACTGTTAGCTTCAGGCTAACATTTAGTAACATCAGACGTCATCTTTTCTGCTATTTAAGGATAAATAAATATTTGTAGGAAAAATACAAAACTAAATTTATTTTTTGAGACATTAACCACGTTGACTGTTTTTTTTTTTTCCGTCTCACCTGACGTTTGTATTTTTAACCTTTAGCTCTTCCTCTGATCCACGGAGAATTACCTTGAATCTCTACCTTCCTCAGGGGCCGTGACACAGGATAATCCACAGAGTAAAGAGGATTAGCCCCACCTAGCTGCACCAGAGACACAGAGGCAAACGGCTGGGATTGAACCCTAAACTCAGCCTTATGTCATATATCCAGGGGACACGTCCGCAGCAGACAGAGCAGCAGGATTTTATTTAGAACTTTTTTCCAACAGTCGACTTCATCACAGTCCCGTCTACATCTGGAACTGTTTTTTTTTTCCTTCTTCTATAAATAAACGTATTAAATAAAGTGGAGCTCTGAGGTCGGACGTCGGTCTGATGGATAAACCGTCAGACAGACGCAGGAGAAGAGAGAGGATTATCACCACTATCTGGAATGAGAGCAGTCACCTGTCAGCAGCAGCAGCAGCAGCAGCAGCCGCAGCAGCAGCAGCAGCAGCAGCAGCAGTAACTGTTCCTAACGTGTTCTTATTTTCATCAGTTTCTGTTTCTGTCCTGAACTTTAGTTTTTATCTGTTTGAAAACAGACGATAAAAGTGGGACAAACGTCTGATGTCGTTGCTGTTAACGCTCGGCTTCAACGCCTTCACTGACGTCACGGTGACATCATGATTCTTTAAATCTTTTTTTTTTTCTCCTGTTCTGGGTCAGATGTCTCAGTGAGTGTTGGAGAGTCAGAGTTCAGGAGCTAAAAGTCCGACAGAACTGGACTCCTCTCTCCCTGTTCTTCAAAAAATTAGAGAAACCATCAGATCAGATTAACCAGTTGGACTGAACTGAACTGGACTGGACTGGACTGGACTGAACTGGACTGGACTGAACTGGACTGGGTTGGAAATCATTGACACCCAAGAAACACACGATGTCCTAGAAAGTCATGAAATGAATCTTTGAATAAAAACATCTTCAACATCTGATACTTGATCTGATCTGAACGTTGTTTGACTTTGACTCTTTAACAACAAGACCAAACTAATCTATTTCAGATTACCAATCTGAGGATGTTTCTTTGTCCAATCCCTGGCTCTGACACATGACTCAGTCTGAGTGTGTGTGTGTGTGTGTGTGTGTGTGTGTGTGGCTGACTCAGTGAATGAACTAATTTCCCTTTTGCTCCACAGCCAGGGGAGGAGTGTGTGTGGGTTTGAGGATCAGAGAAGAGTAAAAGAGAGCAGACGTGTAATCAGAGTTTTCTAATTCGGTCTCTGCTCCTCACCCTCCTCCTCACCCTCCTCACCCTCCTCCTCACCCTCCTCTCCTCACCCTCCTCCTCACCCTCCTCCTCACCCTCCTCCTCACCCTCCTCCCCTCCTCACCCTCCTCTCCCCCCCCCCCCCCCCCCCC